CACACACACACACACACACACACACACACACACACACACACACATACACACACACACACACACACCCACACCCACCCACCCACACACACACACACACACATAAACACACACAAACACTATCTGTGAGACGTGCTCAGGTTGTAATGCACTTGCTCGTCGACGTGAGGAAATGGTATTGAGTGGGTAATTGATGAAGAAAAGTCTACCGCGGAACGCCAGGTGGTGAGTATTATTTAGTGGGTGATTGATATGGAGTCTACAGCTGAGCACAAGGTGGTGGAAGAACAGTAAAGCATCCTGTCCCACTATCATGGTCAGGTTCATCGGGTATGACTATGAGCATTGAGCCTTATTATACCTTAAATTGATCAGGTGAGAATTGCGAATCATCTAATTTGTTTCCTCTTGTAATGTCGGTGCGTGCTTGAAAGTTGGCAGATTATTTTACTTCCCTGCGAGCGGGCGAAAGTCGCGAGCTTCTTATCCTGAGCCTTACTCTCCGCTCTTCGAACTTGGCCCTTTTTTAAGTTGTTGTTCAAAATTTTCTTGTCTCAGCTGAATCTCAGCACTCATAACACACCATCGAACTGCTGGGCTGGTTTCGTGTTGGATTGAGCGTGGACTAAGTTCTGAAGCAGGTCCTGTCATTACCAGTTACTTGGCACAGGTCCTGTCCTCCACTGTAGATATATTCGCGTGCTGGTTTCAGCCAAGAGTGCTGCAGGTATTGGCCGGTCGCTGTAAATAACTCGGTGCAGAGTTTTTTTTTTTTTTTTCATTATTTCAGAAGATTCATAGAAGATTGAACAATCGAACGATCCAGCGAATTGCCGCGACCTTTCACGATTCTTTCCCCTAGCTGCCGTCTCGGTCTCTTGATTAACGAACAGATTCAACGAACCTGTAGATATGCACCTCTGTATGTATCATGTATGCTGTGTATCAATGAACAGATTCAATGAACGTTTATTTGAGAGGCTTGCTGTACACGATGTGGGGAAAGTAGGTGGGTTGATCTGCTGCTGTTTTCGTCATCTTCTTTGTTTTCCGCAAATTTTCGGTCGTTAAAAAGTTTTTTTTTATTTGGATGACGTGCTAGTCAGTTTTGTTTCTCCGTTCAGAGTTACACCACCTGGGAGTTTTCCTTTTAGACAGAGCGTAAGTACTTTTTTTTTTTTTGTTTTTTTTTCCCAAGTACTCTCCTTCTTCTTTCCTTTCTATTGAGGGGAAAGGGGAAAGGGGAGAAGCTGGTGGGGGTTTGGGGGTTGAAGGGTGGGGAATAGGGTTTCATTTCAACGTGGTCAGCTACGTGGTGTGGTTTCACAAACTTTCACTTACAGGTTCCACTCCTCGTGGACCTTGTAGATTCAATGACCGATAAAGAAACAGGATAGCTTTGTCCAGTGACAGAATCAAGAACCAAAACCTCCATGTTTATTTCATGGAGGTCTAGAAATGTCATGCTTTTTCGACCTTGTGCAGTTGAGTCGTGCTCATTTTTGACAATGAGCGTTTTAGCGCCTAACACTGGGTCCTTTGCTCATCCAGTTGCATTGCTGCAGTTCTTAATGGACTTCCTCTCCACCCTTTCTTGCCTCCCCCCCCCCCCCCCCCCCCCCCCCCCCCCCCCCCCCTCTCTCTCTCTCTCTCTCTCTCTCTCTCTCTCTCTCTCTCTCTCTCTCTCTCTCTCTCTCTCTCTCTCTCTCTCTCTCTCTCTGCACCTGCCCCTTCCTTGGCACCCGTTCTCTCCTTCCCTGCGCACTCATCTGACCTCCTGCCCCAGTCTTTTTTAATGGATGTGAGTCATGACGATCGACTACACGTCTGCAGCGCCATTCTGCTTGTGATCTTACTTCATCATCTCATGGGGTCTCTCATCTTCCTGGTGTGCAAGTGTGGCTGGCATGTCTTTGTCCCTTGCTTTTTCCCTTTGCTATGACCTTACTCATTTTGTAATGACTTTATGTCTGCGTTTCACAGATGGGCTAAGATGATTGAAATTATATCATGGCTGGTACTGCGCAACACTCCCCCCCTCCCTCCCTCCACCCTCCCACCCCCCGTCTCTTCCTCTCCGTTGTCGTTGAAGTTTGGACAGCCCCTTGTGTGCTGTTTGTGTTGCTGGTCAGCAAATTGGGCCTTTTTTTATTGACACATTTTTGACCTGATCGCACCTCCAAAGGAAGGAAACATCGTCTTGAAGCAAGAGCAGTTGTTGCTGTAGCTTCTCTTTCTCTCCTTTTTTTTTTTTTTTCTTCGCTTTCAAGTTTGAGGAGTCTCCTTCTTGATGGAAGGCCTCTGCTGAGCATGCTTTCTTTCGCTAGACCAGGGTGTTCCTTTTTGTCACCGGTTTTCCCTGAGCAAAGTCCGGTGAAGGGTGTTCATCAGAATCGTACTCGTCTGATGTCTGATGCACTACTGTGGGCAAACCACCCTGCCAGAGTACCCCCCTGGCAGAGCCTCCTTGTCAGATAACATGTTGGGCTGCATTGCTCTACTTGATGCAGGTTTCTTCAGCCCCATTCTTTTTTCTTTTTCTTTTCTTTTCTTTTTTTTTTTTTTTCTTTTCTTTTTTTTTTTGTATTTTACCTTTTGTTCGTGCGCAGTGTTTCATTGAAGTTTGCCTCTCCTCATCCTGTCAGACCATTTTTGTATCTTCATATGGAAGACGAGCATGGAAAATACGCGCTTTTCGAGACTAGAGCGTAGCAAAAGGTACGATGATGGAAGCGACCCTCCCAATCTTTGGAACGCAGGTCTGCTGCAAAGGCGATTGTCAACAATAATCTGCTGAGCGAACTTGCAGAAAGCTTGCCAGTATTGTTCTGGAGTTGTACCTCGAACAATGTTTTGCGGTGTCTTATGTTCATCTGAACTGGACTTTCTTTTCGTCTGTTTCATTGTCCACATGTCACTGTCCACTCTTTCCCATTGTGGCTTGTTCTTATAAATGAATGTGTGTGTGTGTGTGTGTGTGTGTGTGTGTGTGTGTGTGTGTGTGTGTGTGTGTGTGTGTGTGTG